GTTTTAAAGCTTTGTCCACCTGCAAACAGTCACAGACAACAGCTAGAAACCAAAGCCAACACTGGCCAATAGCTTATTGACAGAAGTCACCAAAACTCCACTTGGTCCGTCTTCTGTGACTTTAAAACCTGAAACAAAGAGAAGCTTTCTGTTCCACAAACTACCTTCAGAAAAAAAAGATACAAAAAAAAAAAAAAAACTCTGGGGTTTTTTTTTTTTTTTTAATTTTCACCCGGTATCAAAGACCACCACGAGAAAGAGATGAGAACGCTAATCCTGGGGTGATTTTTTTTTTTTTTTTTTTTTTTTTCTGCCAGACATAGCGTACTGTAGGTGAATAGTGACAGTAATAAAACTGCAGTAATTATGGGCTGGTATTTAAAAGTGGACTATGGCCAAAACAAACAAAAAAAATGTTTTCAATGTGAGTGCAGAAATATTTTGTTGTTGTGATTTTTTTTTTTTTTTTGTTAAAGCTTTACACATCAAATGTTATTACTTTCTTTTTTTTCTTTTTTTTGTGGGTGAATATGTAATGTTCAAAGTGAGACTAAATGTCACATCTTTTTGAGTTTTTTTTTCCTGTGAGGGATTTCGCTCTGGGCTGCATTGAAACTAAAAACATTCGCGAACCAAACGTTTTTGAGTAAAAAAAAAAAAACTAGTAAAGCCAAATAGGTCACGATTTCACGTCGACATGAAGTGAAGTGGCTTGGTTACCACGTGAGAAGCAAATAATAAAATAGCCATTGAAGGAGAGGATTATCTGCGGTGGAGAGGTGACCTTTTCTAGGTGATATTTGCTTTAACTTCATCAAATATCAGATGCTCACGCTGCGGTTCGTAGCTTCTAACCCGTACAGACGCAGCCCGTGATGCGCTCTGTGTCGTCGTCAGCTTTTTTTTTTTTTTTTTTTTTTTTTGTATAAAAACAACACGTGGTGTTTGAAGGCGTCGTCGAGGCCGAGCTCATCCAGTAGAGTGTTGTTGCTTTAAAACTCATTTCCGTTTTTTCCAGTAAAAACCAAAGTTACACAAAATTCTGCCTCCTCTTGTTTGGGATAAAGAGATGCTACAACAAACCGCACGCGACACGAACGTGAACCAAACACACATGCACACACACACACACACACTATCAGCTTTCAGCTCTGCTGTGAACTTCTCGTTTCGTTCCAATCCTCGTTCCAAACCGAAGATCGGCTGCGTATCGTGCAGTTCAGAGCAAACGCCGTCCGCCCGCTTCGACCAAAATGGAAATACACTGTGCATACGCTGTTGTCGCGCATCGCGTCGAGCCGAGAAATTGGCTGTAAGAGCTGAACACGCAGACACGTGCAGTACTGTATACACACTCACACACACGGACACACACACCTGCACGTGCGTCAGTTCCACGTCAAGAGGTTGCTGGGCCCAGGAACAAAGCTTATCCCTTCAAAACCGAGCTGGAGTCGGCGGAAAATCGACTTGAAGACGACGTTCCCTAATAATCTTATCGCACCAAATAAACGGGACGCTGTCTTTAAAAACGAAAAGAGAAAGAACAAGAAGAAGAAGACAAAGGGTTCTCCCACTTACCCCAAAAAGGCTTTCTGAAAGCTTCTACCTCTGCACAGCATAATTCCCAACAATTACCACAGATCGCTCCACTCGTTAGAAAGCCACCAGAGCCGTTTTCTCGAAATTTCCACCGCGCTCGTCCGGAACCGACGTTTACATTCCCTGCTCCGAGATATCGGATGATTTGCCCGGCATTAGGTTGTCCACAAGCATTTGTAGAATGACGATGTATAGAATACCTGTAAGGGAATATTGTGTTTTAAAAAAATGCATGTCTAAAAAAAAAAATCATTTGGTGGACTGGAGATGAGAATTAACTAAAAGAATAGGGTGAACACCAACGGGGACGAAGGCCTACATGTACGTACATTACCTCAGATATACTGTTTTGGGAAGGATCCAAGCTGTCAGCCACAGAATGCATATTACCTGTAGATTTGCATGGGTTTTGTATAAATTAAGTAAAAAAAAAATGTCTAAAATAGTTGCTTGCACATAATACCAGAAAGACCTCCAGAACTGCGATCTGCTACTCCACTAGATTTTAGGACTGTCTGGATTTTCTGGGTTGATTTTGTCTGTATTTTGATAACTGTGCATACTTATGTAAAGAAAAAAAAAATAACGTTGGTGGACCCATAAATTTACCAGACTTTTTTCTAAGAGGAAAAAAAAAAATCTCAGTGTTTCTTTTCTGACTTACCTGAATTTCTACTGTTTCTCTCTCTCATTGCTCGCTAAGAATAGCAAACCTGCTTTTTCTGCATCTGCTTTGCGTAGCTGTAAGGCTTAACCTAATGTGTGTATTTATTGCTTGTACCTCTGTGCATACTTTATGAAGCATTATGTCTGGCAGTTGAGTCATGTATCCTTTCTACTGCTATCCTTCTCTAATAATTGGGAATATGATCCCCGTATGTATACAGTAAATTGGGACTGTAGCAAAACATATGTTAATGTAATTGGTGAAAACTTTTTGTTTTTTCTTTTCCATGCTTTATTTTCCTTACGATCGAGAATCAACTCCTAATTTTATTCTTTTTTATTTTTTTTATTTTTTTTATTTTTTAATTCTTTATTCCATTACTGTGTACTGTGTTCATACGTTTAAAGGTTCTCTGACGTTAGAAGGTCATGGTTGAGAGTTGTAACAAACGTTATTATTTTCTGTATTCATGGCATTTCACTGCTGAATAAAATAAAGGACCAAAACTTGGAATTTGAGAAACAACTGTCTACCTGCGGCATCTGCGACTAGTTTGTTATCCAAAAAAAAAAAAAAAAAAACCCATCTCACCGGCATTACGCTTTTAACATTTCAGGAGCTGCTACTTCACAGATGTGAAGGGAGGAAATGGAGGAGAAAAGCCATTAAAATTTAATGTCTGCGTCACATGACTGCGTCCCAGCTCACAGCCTTGTTTAGAGGCGCGGCAACCAGGGCCGAGTTTTATCCACGCCGCTGATCGTGGAATGGCGTTAGCCTTTGGATGAGTCGGGTCGGTGTACGGAAAACTCAGATTGACGGCAGGCGAACAAACGTCGTCGTCGAATGTTGAAAGTCTCTAATATTCAGGCTAACTTTTAACCTTTAATTGTCTAATGAAATGACCTGTCAATTGAATCAGGTGTGAATTAATCGCGATTAATCACAATTGTAAAAATTCAGTGTTTTGTTTCTGTCAATTGAATCAGGTGTGAATTAATTGTGATTAATCACAATTGTAAAAATTCAGTTTTTTCATTTTTGTTTATTTTGTACATTCAGGGGCCACGGGCCCTATGTTGAATCTCCCAGGACTTACCAACATGTATGGTGAACACATCACTTTGAAAACATTGTGATTTTCCCCATAAATCACAAGTGCCAATTTCTAAGGTGGTGATGATCAACTGGTGGTCCGTGGGCTGAAACTGAGGCCCCAAACCTTCCAATGCGGCCCATGACTGGATTTCCAAAATACACATTAAATGTTAGACAATTTTTTTTTTTTTTTAATATTTGAGTGTTAGGCCCTAAAGAAAAATCCAGGCCCTCCGACAAACGTAGTTGTTGACCCCTGGTCTAAGGCCATTAAGAGCCACCATTACCCAGAGATATTCTTCCCCTTTTGCCCTCACTAATGTCTGACCCAGATTCCAGATTCCCACTGTTCTCACGCACCACAAGTACACACAGCAGAAGTACTGCCGTGTACCTTGTCAAAGCCTCTGGCCCTGATGTGACTTCACCAGGCTGGGCTCCATTTCTGAGCCACATACTGCAAAAGTGCTTTTGGCAGAGAGTGCATTATTAAGTCTGTTGTCATGCTCATGTAAAATATATATCTGCCTTATTACCATCAGGGTTCTGCATCACGGAGAGAAAACAGAGATGTGAAGTTTCATCAGACGCCTTCCGTCCTCTCCCATCCGTCTGTAATAAGGCAGTTTTTCCTCTTGACACTTCAAAGCCACGGGAGAAAAACAGTCTTTTTTAGCTTTTTCCCTCCATTGATGGGTTTGACTGGTAAAACGCCGTGACAGGCCGCGTGGCTAAATCAACTCCAGCCGGCCCAGCACACCTTGTCGGTCATGGAGCGCCCACACGCTGACACCCTCATTGAGATTCAAACTGACTCTACCATGACCAATAGGTTGCCCATTAGCTCGTCTGTATGCCGAGAGCCTTCGACACGTTCCACCCGGCGCTCAGGGACACCGCGGCACCCTTTGAATCATGTCCGCTGGTCATTTAATCGTAACGCTGATGCGTGTTCTTTTTCCTTACCATATGATGTCCCGTGAGAGGTCGGAAAACAACAGCACTTTTCATACACACTCACCCGCCCTCCTCCCTCCCTCTCCCCA